CGATCCCCTTCCCACTAGCTTCATGCAGCGCGAGTCAGTCTCAGAATAAAACAGTGTCAACAAAAAAACTGATTTAACAGGGGCATCAGACACGCAACATCAATAATCCAACAATGTCAGCGTTCACAAAAAACCTGTGTGTATTAGATGAACCTAGCCTTTTGACGACAAATATTTAAACTGTGGTATACACCAGAGTAAGAGCTTGCCTGGTGGTTCAAAATGATCCAGCTGCGGAAGGTGATCACAATAGCGACCAAATTTTAACTCCTACCTTTAAAATTCCCAAAATTTTAGTACATATCTTTTGCCTCATGGACACCGTTTTGCATAAATACTAGTCTAGCCGTTTAAGTTTTAAAAGAAGGCGAACTCATGTGCACGTCCGTCATTTGTTTATTACTGGAAGACACCATCACCCGATACTGTTTCGTGGGAACGACGCCAAAATGCGTAAGCTGAACACTGCGATGCCCATCCACTGTTCTCTAGATTCCTTTCGCCAAAAACCAATCGTGAAAGAGAAAAGCGGCCTCTTTCAACCTCCTTCATTTGTAACAGAATGAGGAATTTATTTACATTACGAAATCCTCTTTCGAATAAACAATATTTACATCCCGATGCGCATATTAATGACGATGTCAAACCGTAATTCATACGGATCAGCTTTGTTAGGCGCGATAAAGAACTTCTTCCTTCCGTTTCTTCATAGCGTAGGTTCCAGGTTTTGTCTGTGCGTCTGGATGATTGGCAAGTTCAGGGGGACACGCGGAAACCGGGCTTTCCAATAACAACTGCTTCAAGTCGTAAAACACTTGGCTGTCGTCTTTGGTAAGAAAGGAAATCGCTTTGCCTGACTTTCCAGCGCGGCCAGTTCGACCAATACGGTGAGTATAGTCCTCAATCGATTTCGCCATGTCATAATTAAGAACAAGAGAAACATCTTTAATGTCTATGCCTCGACCGGCTACGTCTGTCGCAACCAGGATATCCTTTGTACCTTCCTTCAGACTTGACAGAGCGTATTCTCTTGCCTCTTGTCCTTTTCCACCGTGCAGCACGCAAGGGTTGAACTAAATATGTCAAAATAAACATCAGCATCTATCTTACTTCATACATTCCAACATTAAGTGAGAACAGATATAGTTCGTTACCGTAATAGACAGAATACGATAAAATTAAGAGAGAAATATCCTCAGGATATTCTCAGGAAATATCCTGCACGGATTTTCAACATACTTTCCTACGTGTTATTACTGATCACTCTCACTAGGTCCCGGTAAGCGGAGACACGTGCCGTAAAAGAGCTACAGAACCAATCAATCATTCCTC